GAACTGATCTCTCCTTGCAACATGTCCAAAGTATGTCAGATGAAGCTCCGGAATCCTTGCCTCCAAGGAGCAGCCTGGTTTAACCCTCTCCAGGATGAAACTGTTCACTCTCTTAGCAGTCCAGGGTATATTCAATACTCTTCTCTAGCACCACCATAGCTCAAAGGCACCAATCCTCCTATCATCCCTAGCCATTGTCCAGCTCTCTGATGCATAGCAAGGGATTGCAAAGACTGTGGCCTCTATCAGGTGATACACATTAGTCTCCAGATTTGCATCATTGTTCTTCAGTACTCTGGAGAGGTCTCTGACAGCCGACTTTCCCTACACAATACGTCTTTTTACTTCCTAGCTGCTGGTGCCAACAGTGTTGATTGTGGAGCCATGCAAACTACAGCTATTTACAATCTCAATCTCTTCACCATCACGATGCTGCCAACTGGCCCAGTGGTGACAATCTTTTTTTTCTCGCTATCGAGCCTCAATGCATATTGAAGGCTGCTGTCCTTGATCTTCTGCAGAAAGCGCTTCATGCTGTCCTCAGTTTCATCAAGCAGGATTGTGTCATCTACATAACACGGATTTTTCATAGATCTTCCTCCAGTCCTGATGCCATGTTTCTCCTCACAGAGCCCAGGTTCCCGGATAATTCTGCACATAGATTGAAAAAATATGGAGATAGGACACATCTCTGACGTACACCCTTCCCAATTTTGAACCGGGCAGTGTTCCCTTGCTCTGTTCTGATGACTGCCTCCTAGTCCAAGTACAGGTTTCACAAAAGCACCATTACAACACATGAGCAAGAACCCACAGTGATGAAGAAGTTTAAGATGCTCTGGAAGAACTGGCAAAAAACAAGGCCCCAGGACTTGATAGCGTATCAACTGATATATTTCAACACACAGATGCTTCCCTAGATGTGTTCACCAAGTTGTGCCGAGAATTCTGGAGGACAACCATCTGACCAACTGACTGGAAGGCACTTGTTCCCATTCCAAAAAAGGTGATCTGACAGACTGTGTAACCTATCAAACAATATCATTAATAGCATATGCAAGCAAGATCCTGCTGAAGATTATCCAAAAATGATGCACATCCATGTTTACTGCGGCTTTGTTCACAATACCAAGGACTTGGGACAACCTAAGTGCCCATCAACAAACTAATGGGTAGAGAAGCTGTGGTATATTCACACAATGGAATACTACACTGCATTGAAAAACAAGCAACTCAAGCAATATTAAAAATGGGTGACCCTGCAGGACATTATACTGAGTGAAATATCTCAGTCACAAAAGGACAAATACTGCATGGTGCCACTGTTGTAAAACAGGACTGACATCAGGGTTGAGCGGAGACTGAGAAAGATGGATTCAATAATGTATACTGCATTGAAACAGATGAGGGAGAAAACTATTTAAAAGGGATATATGATTAGGTATTTTTCTCATGGCGGAAGTATAGATCAAAGGCTGTATCATGGAGTGGACGGGCGGGAGGGGGGGGATTGTAAAACAATGAAAGAATTTTTCTTTTACTTTTCCAAGAGGGTAGTGTACTAGAGGGGAGGCTCAGGAGGGGAGAAAAGTGAAACAATGAATGAATGGAAATCAAATGTCTCTATAAATTTTCATTGAAATTAATAATAATAAAATAATAATTTAGAAAAAAAATTATCCAAAAACGACTGGAACAGCACATCAACAGAGAACTGCCCTACGTGCAGGCTGGGTTTAGAAGAGGTCGTGGTACTAGGGATATTACAGCTAATGTTAGATGGATCTTGGCTGAAAGCAGGGAGAACCAGACGAATGCCTATCTGTGTACAAAGGCTTTTGACTGTGTGGACCACAACAAAATGTTCTATTAATACTTGTCATTGTTATGTGCCATTGAGTCACTTGTGAACCTATGTACATAGCGACCCTATGTACATAGCGACCCTATGTACAACAGCTCTAAATTCTGCTCTGACCTGTGCCAATCTCACTGTCTACGACACACTCATCCCGATTACCCCAGTCACCAAATCAATCCATCTCCCAGAGGGTCTTCCCCTCCTGTGCCTGCCCTCCACCCTTCCAAGCATGATGTCCCTCTCCAAGGACTGTCCCTCCTTACAACATGACCAAAGTATGTCAGAAGAAGCCTCAGAATCCTTGCCTCCAAGGAGCAGCCCGGTTGAACCCTCTCCAGGACGAATCTGTTTGTTTTCTTAGCAGTCCATGGCACCTTCAGCACTCTTCTCGAACACCAAAGCTCAAAAGCATCAATTCTCCTTCTATCCTCCCTGGTCACTGTCCAGCTCTCTGATGCATAGCAAGTGATTGCAAAGACTATGGAATGTACCAGACACACCTTAGTCTCCAGAGACACATCGCTGCTCTTAAATACTTTAGAGAGGGCCCTAACAGCAGACTTCCCATCGCAATATGTCTTTTAATTTCCTGGCTGCTGGTGCCAAGTGTTGATTGTGGAACCAAGCAAACTGAAGCTGTGAACAATCTCAATCTCTTCACCATCCATCCTGATGCTGTCAATCGGTCCAGTGGTGAGAATCTTTGTCTTCTTGACATTGAGCCTCAATCCATATTGGAGGCTGCAGTCCTTGACCCTCTGCAGCAGGTACTTCAGGTCCTCCTCAGTTTCAGCAAGCAGGGTTGTGTCATCTGCATAATGCAGATTGTTGATAGGTCTTCCTCCAATCCTGATGCCACATTTCTCCTCATAGAGCCCAGCCTCTCGGATAATCTGCTCTACACACAGGTTGAACAGGTATGGAGACAGGATGCATCCGTGGCGTACACCCTTCCCAATTTTGAACCATGCAGTGTTGCCCTGCTCTGTTCTGACGACTGCCTCTTGGTCCAAGTATAGGTTTCACATTAGCACGATTAAATGTTCTGGGATTCCCATTCTTCTCAGAGTCAGCCACAGTTTGTTATGATCCACGCAGTCAAATGCCTTTGCATAATCAATGAAACACAGATAGACATTCTTCTGCTATTCTCTGCTTTCAGCTAAGATCTATCTAACATCAGTTACAATATCCCTAGTACCATGACCCCTTCTAAACCCAGCCTGGACTTCTAGCAGTTCTCTGCTGATGTGATGTTCCAGTCGTTTTTGGATAATCTTCAGTAAAATCTTGCTTGCATGTGAAATCAGTAAGATTGTTCTATGGTTTTCACACTCTGTTGGGTCACCTTTTTTGGGATGGGAAAAAATATAGATCTCTTCTAGTCAGTTGGCCAAGTGGTTTTTCTCTAGATTTCTTGACACAACTTGGTGAGCACGTCCAGGACAGCACCTGTTAGCTGAAATATGTCAACTGGTATACCATCTATTCCTGGGGCCTTATTTTTTCCTATTTCCTTCAAAGCAGCTTCAACTTCTTCCTTTATCACAATAGGCTCTTGCGCATATGTTGTTTCATTAAATTCTTCTGTATCTGCCAATACCTTTCGATACAGTGACTCAGTATATTCTTTCCATCTTCTTTTGATACCTCCTGGATCATTTAATACTCTGCCTAAAGCATCCTTGATTATTCTATTAATAGACATCATAAAAATAGTGAGCGTTAGCAGCCCTCAATCTGATACAAGGGGAGTGTAAATCAGAAGAGGTACTGATTTCTCGGCATAAAGGACTCTACTGTCCTTCCCCTCCCTCACAGACAAGCCCAGGTCTGGGGTGGAGACTGCACAGATGCCACAGGTAAGTGAGCTCCCACACAAGCCTGCATCTCTAGAGGGGTGAGAGTGTGCACCTTCAAAGAGCCTGTTACTCTGTGCTACACTCTCCCTCCTTTGCCCAGTTGAGATTTACTGTTATAAATAATCCGTAAGTATGGATGAGATGGATTGATACAGTAAAAGGGACAATAGATGTTGGTGTGTCGGAGTTAAGTGAGACTGACTCAGGACAGGGAAGAGTTCAGAGCTACATCGCAGGCAACTCAATGGCATGTAACAATAACATACTATGACAGGTTTAGAAGCAGGAGTAGCAGCCACTTCGTAAATAACATGCCTGTGGAAACTATGAACTTTGAAAAATGTCAATAGTTGTAGAAGGGCTTCAGCCCTTTTGTTAATAGGGTCGCCATGAGTTGTGCTCAACTCGAAGGCAATCAACAACATTTGGGAGGAAATTCTGCTTTAATGCTAATCTTGAAGCAAAACTATGGGGGAAAAGAATCCCTCTTTATTGTACAGCAGTCTACAAAGGCTCAAGAAGTAAAGCTGTCTTCAGTGTAAAAACGAGCCAATCTCAGCACTGCGTGGCACAGCCAACCCACCTCTAACATAGGTCTCGAGAAGGGACCACCGCAGATCCTCACCCCACTTGGCTGGCTCCCAGCAGGCCCCCTGTCCTGGTGGCAGCCAATCGGGAAGCTCCATGCGCTGCCATTTCCCACACCCACGCTGTGGACAATTCACACAGTCCTGCTGGGGCAAAGGTTTACAGCGTGGAATTTGTCTTTTATACTCAAGGAGAAATGAGCAGATGCTTAGTCCAGAACCAAAGCGTAAGAGGGCTTGGAGTGCTCCTCCCTCACACTGGTATGTTTCTAAAAACCCTTCATTTTCATCCTTAGAATGGATGTAATTTTATCTTGTGTGTAGAAACCAGCCAGTGTTAGACTCTTCACCGTAAACTCAAATAACGTCACCCACCACATTTAGTAAAAGAGCCTGGTCACTGGGATCAGGCCCAAAGTGTGGAAAAGGTGGGCGGGGGCAGAGAGCCCAGCATCAGGTACTGCCACCAGCACCCCTGGAGACGCTGTGCACTGTGGCCACCGTGAACACAGAAGTGTGAGGGAAACGGCCCACAGGTTTAGTGACTGGTTTTCAACTCAACAGGACTCATTTTCAAGGGCCGCTTTTAGACCCGCCTGTCAAAGGCAGATGCTGGTGCACACAGCCCGTGGAGCACACAGCTTCACTGAGGTCTGAGCGAGGGTGGAAGGCGCTCCCCACCCCACTTACCTTACTGTGCGTGAAGGGGGGCGCGGCATACAAGGTGGGGTGGATGAGAGGGCGGGGTAGGTGAGGGATGGTGTGCAGAGGCACGTGTCCGTGGATGTGGGGGTACAGGTGCAGTGCAGGGTGTGTGGGCTTCTCGGGGGTCAGGAACTGGTGGCCAGGAGACAGAGCGCCCACAGCGGCTGCAGAGGCGGTCAGGCCAGATGCTTCTTGTTTGCAGACATGACATTCGCATGTGTTCTGCGCTTGCTCAGCCTGAAAGGAAGGAAAAAGAGTGTCTGCTTAGGTGTGTCACCTGGCCCGTTTCTGCAGAGGGGTTAAAGGGCGTACTCAGAGCTAACAGGGCCAGGCTCGTCCTACGACAGAGCACGTCGTTCTCAGGAGAGGAAGGAGCTGTGGGGATGAACCCATCACCCTGGTCCCCGCATGTGCCCTATGCCCTGTGTCCTGTGCTGGTCAGCAAGGAAGTGAGAGGCGAGTGAAGGGGAGCATCGTGGAGGAGAAAACCCAAACCCAGGGCTGCCCCTCCTGAGCCAGGGGGAAAAGGAGGGCTGCAACCAGACCACCAGGGGCCACATTCCTGCAGATGGGAACTGCCATCTTCCCTAGAAGGGAGGATACAAGCCGGAGTCTTACATACGTTCAGCATGTTAGCAGGAAGAAACAGTATCTGGACAAAGACATCATGCTGGTTGAAAGAGAGTCAGCAAACAAGAGGAAGACCCTCAGAGCAGGACCAACACGGGACATGACAGCTGTGCAGATGGCGCGCGAGGCAGGGCTTCACCTCGGCTGCACAGGGCGGCTATCCGTCGGGACTGACTCCCTCACACCCAGCAAGGCCACTTTCACCAAAGATACAGTATTTTAAAAAGAAAAAGACGTGAAATGCCAAATTCTAAACCACCAGGACGGAAACCTCAATACAATCTTTAAAGTGACAGAACCCCAAGAAGATTTATGATTGGCGTTTGAAGAGAGAGCCAAGCATTGCTGAAGAGCACGCCACTACCACACGGCATGCAACGAGCTTTGATCTCTCAAGAGCTCACAGAAACAGGCATTAGGATTGGTGGATGATCTATCAACAATCTGCGTTATGCAGATGACACAACCCTGCTTGCTGAAACTGAGGAAGACCTCATGCACTTGCTGCGAAGGGTCAAGGACTGCAGCCTTCAGTATGGACTGAGGCTCAATGTCAAGAAGACTAAGATTCTCACCACTGGACCAACTGGCAGCGTCAGGATGGATGACGAGGAGATTGAGATTGTTCACAGCTTCAGTTTGAAGCTCGGCTCCACAGTCAACACTCTTGGCACCAGCAGCCAGGAAATCAAAAAACGTATTGCGATGGGAAAGTCTGCTGTTAGGGACCTCTCTAAAGTACTCAAGAGCAACGGTGTCTCTCTGGAGACTAAGGTGCGCCTGATACAGGCCATGGTTTTTGCAATCACTTGTTATGCATCAGAGAGTTGGACAATGACTAGGGAGGACAGAAGGAGAATTGACACCTTTGAGCTGTGGTGCTGGAGAAGAGTATTGAATGTACCATGGACTGCCAAGAAAACAAACAGATTCATCCTGGAGAGGGTTAAACCAGGCTGCTCCTTGGAGGCAAGGATTCTGGGGCTTCATCTGACATACTTTTGACATGTTGTAAGGAGAGACAGGTCTTTAGAGAGGGACATCATGCTGGGTAAAAAGAGGGATAGCGCAGGAGGGGAAGACCCTCTAGGAGGTGGATTGATTCAGTGACTGGGGTAATCGGGATGGGTGTGTCAGAGGCAATGAGATTGGCACAGGACAGAGCAGGGTTTAGGGCTGTTGTACACAGGGTCGCTATGAGTCGCAAAGAACTCGACGGCACATAACAACAACAACAACAACAACTTTTCAAAAAGAAGTGACAACTGGGGGAGGGGTGGGCAAGGAGAAAAATGCAATAATGAATGTATGGAAATCCAAAATCTCTATAAACTTTCATTAAAATTAATTTAAAAAAATAAAAATAAAAAAGAAACAGGTAAATATGGGCAAAAGTGAGAAGTTGGTAGCTGACAGAAAAGGGGGTCAAAGTCCTTTAAACAGAAAGGAAGGAGCTCACGTGTAACCAGAAAGTGTGACATGAAAACAAAAACCACAGGGTGAGCAGCTCTTGCCTATCGGATGTGATGCCCCTCCAGGCAAGGGACACTGACCCTGTTGCTGGGGACTCTGGTCAATGGCACACATAACTGCAGACACTAGGACCACTAGTGGAGCCAATGCACTGCCTGTGGCCAGTCCTGTGTATGGGGGTCTCTGCTGGTCTGAAAGACGGCATGTCTAAGGCTATGCTGGAATCGTTTATAAAGGAAAGCACGAGTGTCCAGCAGCAGAGCACTGCTTAGACACAAAACACGAGCTCCCCACGTTCACCCAATGGCATACAGCAAGGCAGGGCCAAGCCACGCTTCTGCGCAGATAAAGGCTCCCAGGACATGAGAGAGTGATAAAGGAGGTCCAGAGGTGTGTCACATGACAGGGACGCCTAAGGAGGTGCATCTGCATAAACACGGAAAGGCAGTCAACAACACTGGATGCCTACTGGACAGGAACACAGCGCAGGCAGGCGCTGGGCAGTGCCCAGGGAAGGAAGCACACCTTCTGGAGGATAATCTGCAACATCATTTGTGGGTTTTTAGTTATTCGATTACATTAACTATTCATCTTGCTTGGACTCACCCTCAACATGCCCTCCAAAGAACTGAAGAGCAACACCGTCAGTTTAAAGACTAAGGTGTATGCTGATGCAAACCATGGTCTTTTCAATTACTTCTGTGTACGTAAATACTAGTATGCGTATGGACCTTGTATTTTACGATAGAACTTGAAATCGACTTTTTGACTATGAATGCAACACCAATCTTCTGTTTTCATTCCCAGCATAGTACACCATGTGATTATCTGTGGCCAAAGCTGGTCCATCTCATCTGACTAAGGCCTAATATGTCGATGTTCTTGCGTTCCATTTAATTTTTAACAATTTCTAGTTTTCCAACATTCAAGGAATGCAGCCTTCGATACAGATTGCATCCCAATATCAAGAAAAAGACTCCCACCACTGGACCGATAAGCAACATCATGATGGACGGAGAAGAGACTGAAACTGTTAACCGCTTCATCTTGCTTGGATCCATAATTAACACCCTTGGTAACAGCAGTCAGGAAATGAGGAGACACATTGCACTGGAAAATCTGCAGTTAGGGATCTCTCCAAATTACTAAGAAGTAATGATGTCAGTGTGAGTACTCAGGTGCATTTGATTCAGCCATGATCGTTCTGATCACTTCTTATGAATCTGAGAGCTGGAAAATGAATAAGGATGACAAAAGAATTGATACCTTTGAGCTGTGGTGCTGGAGAAGAGCACTGAACATCCCATGGACGGCCAAAAAACAAATACAACTTGGAGAAAGTGCAGCCAGATTGCTCTTTTGAGGCAAAGGTGATGAATTTTTGCCTCAAATACTCTGGGCATGTTGCTAGGAGGGGCTATGCCCTGGAGAGGGACATGATATTGGGAAGGGTGGAGGGAGAGTCAGTGAAGGAGAGAAAGACCCTCGACCACGTGGACTGACACGCTGACTGCTGCATTGGGCTCTTGTGTGTCAGGAAGTGTGAGGACGGCGCAGGACAGAACAGGGTTCAGATCTTTTGTTGATAGGGTCGCTATGAGTTGTACTCTACTTGATGGCACCTAACAAAACCTGAAAGTTGGCCATTAACTAAGGATGACAGAAGAATTGATGCCTTGAGCTGTGGTATGGGGAAGAGCGCTGAATATCCTATGGATGGCTGAGAGAACAAATAGTCTGTCTTACAGAAGTACAACCACGTGCTCTCCGGAGGCAAGGACGGAGGAACTCTGCCGCACTTACACTGGGCATGTTGTTAGGATGGACCAGGCCTTGGAAAAAGACACCCTACCTAGAAAGGTAGACCAGTGAAAAGAGGACACCCCTCAGCAAGATGGGGTGAATAGCGACTCTAATAGCGTTCACGTGTGTCAGAGGAGGGGAGGACGGCACAGGGCAGGCGGGGAGCACAGGGCACCTAATCACTTTCTGAAAAACCACCCAGCACTTGAACTATCTTGTCGACATTTTCAATTCAGTGACTTACTGAGCACCTGTGTATTAAAATGCCTGACAAGGGTAAACCTCACTTTTGTTAACTGAAAAACAGATAGTCAAGAGGAATACATGAAACCAACCTTTCCTGCAATATTATCATTCTGTTCTTTTCTGTTAAGACCTCCCTTTGCTTCTATATGGACAGAAACATCCATGACCAGCAGAGAAGTGGGCTGCTCTGGGAGACAAGGTAGACAGACTGGAGGAAGAGAACCAAGATTACAAAGGACTTAGGAGTCAGATGTTTTTAATTTTTCAGTGCATCTAATCATCAGAGGGGAGCTCTGGCGACTTAGTGGTAAGGAGGTGCAACCCAAAGGCATGTGGGGTGAACCCACTGGCTTCTCTGTGGAAGAAAGATGAACGGCCTCTGACAACCCACTGCAGAGTCAGCTACGGGTCAGTACTGACTTGGCAGCACACGGCAACAATCTCAAGAAATTTCTGGAAATGAGCATTTGGTACAATTCTCTCCTAGACAGAGCGAGTCTCCTGGCAAAACAGAGCATGGGAAAGGCTTCGCACCTGCTGTGTGGGGTACGACGGGGGTGGACTGTCCGCTTTGTGTTCCTCCTTCCCAAGGCTCCCATTCCCGAGAGCTGCCTCGTCCTTCGGGGCTCCAGGGGGCTCCCCGCTACTCTCGCCGTCTGCTTCCTCATCGTCTGCTTCTGAGGAGCTGCTACTGGTGCTGCTGACCTGAGGGGACTTGGAAACCGACCTTTCGTGAGGCAAGCTTGTCAACTGGACGCCTCCTCTGAAGCATCACACGCCAGCTCGGCACTTGATGCCCTCTATCAGAGTGGTGCCCAGCGCCAAGCATACCTCATCCTTCAGGGCCATGTTCTCACCGCCGCCGTTCAACTCGCTGTGAATCCCGTTCATGCTGGCCACCACCTCTGCGTCATCATAGTTACTCAAGGGGTAAATACCAGCGAATTTTGCTGACAAAGGGGCACCGTCCTCCTCATCACTGCAACTGAGACCAAGCAGAGAGAGTGAGTGCCTGGCGGCTGACGGGGACCAGTGCGGGCCCCCCACTGCTCACCGGATGAGGGCTACCCGCCCCAGTGAGGAACCGACGGAAGGGCCCGGAGTCCTGACACTCCAGTGAGGGGAAGGGACCATGGGAAACAGCCCCGAGTGTGGACACTGTATGGAAGTCAGAAAAACCTAAGCTCACTGCTTGGCACTGCCTGGCAGGATGCCTCCAAGTCACATAACTGTGGGCCTCCTGATGGCCTCCTGCCACCTCTAAACAGACACCGTTCATTAAATAAAGGGACAGAGAGGGCACTCATCTGTGTGTATGAAAAGCATCCAGGAAAGCATCTCCTGTTCTAAGAAACAGGAATCCGCACGAGACCAGAGCCAACAAAGCCAGACTCGCCTGGTCTGGGCTCAGGTGCTAGGGGCCCGTGGCCCTCCTGGCCTGACCGGGGCATCGTCCTTACCACCTCTCTCAGAGCAACAAACAGAAGCTCTGAAATACGAGTGACTGTGTGGTGACGAGGGAAGATCCAGGGCAGAGACCCTGAGGGGTGGCTACCACAAGGCTGGCTCAGGTCTGTGTGCTCGGTCAGAGAAGGACCACCAGAGCAGAGCCCGGTGCAGGTGCCCAGTCTTGGCAAGGACTGGAGCCCGAAGCATCTCCTCAGGCCTGCAGCACCCGAGACTCTGCTCAGCCCCAAAGTCACAGTGACGAGAAGTCCTCACCAAACTCTGCTGACAGCACCCGAGACCCTACTCAGTCCCAGGCTTCCCCACTGGGCCTCTGCACTGCGCCCCAGGCCTCCCCACCGGGCCCCAGGCCTTCCCACTGGGCCCCAGGCCTTCCCACTGTGCTGGGCTCAGGACCAGCAGGAGCCGTACTGAGTAGTGAGGACAGACTTTTCCAACTGAAATTTTCGTGGATCCGACAAGATTCATTTCTCTCAACTCTCTCACAGGTCCTCCAAGCACGCAGGCTGTCAGAAGGTTTAACAGCCAGACCTGCTCCTGAGACTCCCAAGAATGCCCCACATGACAAGCGGAAGAACGGTGTGTCCCCAAGAAGCCCAGCTGACTGATGTGCACTCGGGCCTGGCAGGGACCTGGACTGGAGGCAAGCTGAGCCCAGGGTTGGTGACCCCTCAGCCGGCGGTGCCAGCCTCTCCTCAGGGTCCCGGCTCGTGTGCGTGGTCCCCCGAGGAAGCCTCCGGGCCACTTCCCCTCTGTGATGACGGCAGGGGCACAGCTTACCACGTGGGTGCGGAGCCGCTGTCTGTGAGGAGGAGCCTGGGGTGCTGGTCAATGGTGATCGGAGAGCTGGAGTCGGACCCTGAGCTGGCCGAGGACACGCTCGGCGGCCGCACCTCAGAGAGATAGTCGGGGGCAGCATCCATCTGGAGGGGCAGCTGGTGAATGTGGATGTCATCGGCGACAGGGGGGTCCATGATCCCACAGGTGAGGATGTGCGACAGGCTGCAGTCGTCACAGGTGCACCTGGGGGGGATGGGAGGAGGTCACGGGCGGTCCTGTGGCGGCCGGGCGACACTGGCCGACGGGGCCGCAGCTCACCTTCTCCTGTAGTGGCAGTTGGGGCAGTCGGGCATGCTCAGGCGTGACGACAGCACGTGCCTCATGGTGTCCGTGAAGTGGTTCTCGCCAGTCACCGCCTTCTTACTTGGTAACTAGAGGGAATGGGGAGCAGGGGCTAATGGGCAGGGCGCTCGCCTCGATCCCACTGCACCCGACTACCACAGTGGCACAGCTTCCGTTCTGGAAACCAATGGTCACTGCATCCCACAAGGGGGACACCCGAGGACAGGCACACACTGGTGAGGGACACTGGGGGTGGGTGAGCAAAGGGCTTGATGGAATGAGCTGACAGTGAGACGCAGGAGCACCACCTGCCAACGTCGTGTGGCCTCCAGACGCTGGTCCACGTGGCCAGGCAGGGGACAGCTGGAACCGGTCACTCTGACAGCTCTTTGGGCCCTCACCTGCTCGTCGGTGAACCGCCTCTGTTTGAACAGCTCCCAGTCTTCCGTGAGCATGCGCTGCTTGGTTTTCATTGTCATCTAAGGGAGGGTTAAAGAGATCAGTACCATCGAGACTGGCCAGAGCCAGCCGCAGGGCCTGAAGGGCTGTCGCTGAGGAGTCTTCTGGGTGAGATACCATCGCGTGTGGAGAAGACACTGCTCACCACACTGCAGCACCACAACTGCCGGCATTCTAGGTCAGCATCCTACACAGCTCACTCCAGGCCCCAGCCGCTCTCTGCTGACATGCAAACGGCAGGAACGGGCCTCGCCAGAGAAACGAGGGCATCCAGCTGGCGCGCCCACAGGATACAGGCCCCGCGCTAGCTGAAACTAAGAAGGTCGCCTGTGCTGGCACCTGACGAGCTCTAGACCACGGCAGAGGAAGGACCCACATCAAACGGAGAGGAGTGGATGCTCCCAGAGCCCAGCCTCCGTGGGAATGCTGTGGAAGGACAGACCTGGATGTGCACAGCACCCCTCCACTGACAGAGCAAACACAGCGCCAGAAGACAGAGGGCCTGGAGCCACCGCTCTGCTCAGCTGCGGACAGGGCTCACGTACCAAGCATTGCATCAACTTTCTGAAACTTTAAAACTGGCTCATCCCTCCACCTCTGCTGAGGCCCAGGCAGCCCACCACTTCCTCAGCACCACCCTCCACCTCTGCTGCCTGTTCCCTCTTCTGCACCGTTTCTGGACAGGCAGGGTAAGGCAAGGGTGGGAAGTGGTGCTGTGTGTGGTCCGGCCTAAGGCAGCAGAGAGTCTTACGTGCTTTTTGGGATGAGGCTCCGTCAGACAGAGGCGTCAGGCCCCTTACACACAGCCCCTTCCTGACCCCGCCTCTGGAGGACAGACAGGCCCTGGCTGCTCTTCCCTGGCACAGGGCAGACACTTCAGGGCTCCTACACACAGCCCACTGGGCCTTCCCCTGGAGGAAAGGCAGGTCATGCTGACACATCAGCCTGACACAGGGAAGATCCTTCAAGTCTCCTGCACACAGCCCGTCAGGCCTGCCCTTCGGAGGACAGGAGTGTCACACCATGGGCACATGAGCTCGGCGCAGGGCTGCCACTTGGGGTCCGCTACTCCACACAGCCCTGCTGACCCTGCTCAGAGGACAGGCCCACCTGCTCGGCCACGTAGTCATCGATCCTCTTCTGACAGTCCAGCCACTCCTCGGCCACATGGCGCAGCTCCTCCTCAGAGCGCTGGAAGCGCTGCAGCAAGGTGCTGTACGTGTCCTCGCTGCAGGCGTCGTGCGTGGTGGTGCCCAGCCTGTGGGAGAGAGGGTCTGCTAGCACCGGTGGGGGCCGGGCGTGCGGCACCCGGGTGGCTCCTGCTCCCAGGGTCCAGTTCCGGCTTCGCCCGTCTGACACATTCAGCAGGGTGCCTACCAGGAGGGATCAATAACCATGTACGTGGCACGTCAACAACCAGGCAGGGCACCAAGGTGGCCTAAACTGCCAGACAGGGACGGCCCGACCTCCCTACTCAAACACAGCGGCCCAGAGGCCAGAAGCCCCAAGGAAAAGCCAGGGGAGGCTGTGCTCTCAAACAGAATAGCGAGAACAGGAGCAACTGAAGGACAAGAACCCCAGCTGGACTGAATTCTTCTTCATCTTATTTGGAAAGAAAAGATGAGAGATGGGGAAGTAAAAGATACACACAAAATGCCTCTGATTTCTGAAAAGGAGGGCAGCTGGGGAAGGTGACAGGACGGCGGTGTGAGACAGCGGGGGGGGGGTTACAGGATGGCAAAGTGACCAAACGGGGAGGAGGCCAGGAAGGTGGTGACAGAATAGAAAGTTCTTTTACTGTGAGAAAAACCGAGAAGAAACACTGATTGCTCAATATTACCCCTAGTTTTCCATCATTTTAAGTGTAAAGGCATCGTAGGAATATTTCAGAGTCAGAAATAAAGGTTGAAGAGCCATCTTACAGGAGGGACAAAGCAGGGCAGAAGATGACCCCATCCAAGTGCAAGAACACAGATCCACAACCATGGCCGGGACCTGGCACTGCTGAAGGGGGTGCGCTCTGCGGTGCTGATTCTCAACGGCAAAACAAACAGAACCACTTCTCTATGTAAAAAGTACTAGTTTATAGGGAAGCATTCTGCTGGGCACTGTTGCGGCCCTGGTGCACCGAGGGATGCTGGAGGAAAGTGAACACGCCCTCTCCCCACATCCCAGCTGCAGAGGCACAGCCTCCTGCGCCCACAGGGAGACCACCTTCAGTGCAGGAGCTGGTGGAAAGAGGACAGACAGCTCTTCAAGGAAGCCCCGAAGGAAGAGGAAGATGGTGGCTTTAAACAGGGGTCCAGGTGAGTCTTCCAAGACTGTTTCCACCTTGGATGAAACCAAGCTGGAGCCAACACCGACTCCAGAATCACCCCTGTGTCTGCACTGTGTCCTGACGGTTCCTGGTAAGACCTGAACCCCACAAAGACTCCCTGGAGGAAAACACTTCACCTGACTGTGCTGGTCTATGAATGGAAAGAAGTCTCCCTAACTCCTGCCCCCTCTCCCCACTTCATATTACTACATCCCTGCCTGATGCCAAGCCGTCCCTGCAGCCCACACCAGAGGATGACTGTGACAGGGAACCCTTGTGGTGTCCTCTCGGGGCTGGACGGTGACAGGACACCACTGGGGCACTCCCAGCCCTGCACTGAGGGAAGACCTGCTCTGCCAGGTCCCAGAGCACAGACTCTCTTTCAGGGGACAGAACAGGAGCCGTGGCAACCCCCTGGCAGGGCTGTCATCTGAGGCAGCCAGGCCCCAGTGGGCACATGGGGGGGTAAAGTGCACCATGGTCCCACCAACAGGCCACCCTAAACACAGCTGCACACACATACATGTGCGTGCGCGCACACACATATACACACACACACACAGAGCTGCGTGGAGTTGATACACATGAAGTGCACCATGGTCCCGCCCACAGGCCACCCCAAACCCCGTGCACACACAAGGCTGTGCGGATGTAACACGTTTGGGAACGAGAAGGGAGGAGTGAATCAGTCACCGCTCCCCAAACCTCCCATAATCGTAAGCCCTCCGCTCCTACTATACAGATCAGACTGTGAAGAGCTGCCCACACCCGCGACAGCCCACACGACGCGACTGCCCACACGACACGACTGCCCACTCCAGACCCGAGGTGCCGTGGACGTGGCGAGTGGTCTGAGGTCTGAGCACCCCTCCACAGGTGTCACAGGCTGACAAGTCACTAGACTGGGGCGCACCTGCCTGTGCCCTCAGCTATAATGCTGGGTGAACACACACTGCAGTGGTTTCAACACACCAAGTCTACTGGACCCCCCAGAGCCCTTCACCCCACAATGCAGATGCCAGGGCGCACAGGAGGGGGTGGGGTGCTGTTCCCTGTCATACTCTGTGACTTAGCAGGCCAGGGACTGGCGACACCACACACATGGCCTTATCAGGAGCTAGACACTAACGCGCACAGAGTGGCTGTAGCCTCTGGTGGAGTCTCATCCCTACTCACTGGAGCCACCTGGGGCCCGGCGAGGAGGTTGCACATACACTGCACCGTCCCCCGAGAGCCCTGCCCAGGATGGCAGCGGGCGCAGAGAGAGCCCCGAACCCCGCTGTTCACCTGCTGCCAGTGCATAGCACCTGAGTGGACACACAGCAGTGTCCAGACCCTGGAGTGGGAGAGGGACAGCGTGAAACCCAGGCAGACGGCAATGCACAATCGGGGAGTGAGAGTGGTTACAGCGAAGACACGGGGAGCCAGACACAGAGCTGCTTCCTTGGTTTGCAGGCTCACAGTCAGGTTCAGGGTCATGTCAGTTAAATGGCCTAATAATGCGTTTCAAGGGAGCTCTGGTGGCCTGGTGGTAAGGAGCTACGCTGCAATCCCAAAGGCACGCAGTCCAAGGCCGCCAGGTGCTCTGCGGGAGAAGGATGGAAATCTCCCACACAATTAATTGCCTCTGATAACTCGCTGGAGGGTCCGCTATGGTCGGTTCTGACTAGACAGTACACAACAACAACAACAACAACAGTGAGTTTCATGTGTCTGGTCCACCTCCAAGTTTACCGCATAGTGCCTGGGGTCAAAGCTTCCAAGCATCCACCTGATGGATGACAGGAGGATGTGGGAGAGCTGCCTCCATCAGCGCCTGCTGCTTCTGCCAGACCGAGGACACCCAGTTACTGTCACCAACACTGGGATCAAGGAATCTACACAACAATCTTGACCAAAAGTGGGGAAACATTGAGTGAAATTTCAAATCTGATGGACTCTAGACGTCTGGGAGTCAAGGAGCCTGGAAGAGGCAGAAACTTGTCCTGAGGACATCTTTAAACCTTAAGCCAAAAGTTCTCTTAAAGTCTTGTTAGAAAGCCAGCAGCAGTCCAGCCTGGGTGGTACACAAGGTCAACCTAAGCATCATGCTCTTATCAGACTGGTCGACAGTAGCTCAAAGGGACACCAGCTTGTAGAAAGATGAGACAGGAGCCTCGGGGCGTGGGCATTATGCTCACCAGGCATGTGTGGGTCAGAGAAGGGGCAGCCGTGAAGGACTACGCGATTCGAAGCCCACAACAGAGCCGCTGAGGTGAGCGCAGAGACGGCTGCAGGGGATGTTTCACCATATACAATCTCAACGATCCATCCTTACAAACACTGGGCATTAAGGGAACTCTGGTGGCCTAGTGGTAAAGAAGCTGCACTGCAATCCCTGAGGTGCATGGTTCGAATCCACCAGATGCTCTGCTGGAGAAGGAGGGACAATCTCCTCCTGTGCCAGTCAGATCTGATTTGACTGTATACACACACACCTCCCCACACACACACCCACACAATTTAAAAACAAAATATCCGCCGTGCATTATTCTCACAGGTGCTCCCCTTCTGCCAGCAGCCCTCACCCCTGTTCTTCTAGCTACCAGGAGTGCCATTCTGCAGGGCCCTGAGGAACAGACGTGGCAGCCCCATGCGTGTATGGAGGTGGAGCCCCCGTACCTGATCTGGGACACCAGTGTCGGCAGGTTGCTCTGGAGAAGCGGCTCTGAAAACACCAGATTCTCAAACAGGTGCTTATTGTGCAGCTCCCACGTCACCTGGAACCTTTTCAAGTGCTCGTTCTCCTAGTTAAAATAGAAAGAGATACATCAAGTGATGACAGGAACCTTCCCAGAAAACGCGGTTCCTCCCGTCACGCAGGACTGCACCGTGTCCACCCGCTGGCCCAGGACGCTCTGCTGACGGGCAAGCTCTGAGCCCATTTGTCCCAGAGCTCAGCCGGGCACGCGGCTCTGGTGGGCACTCGCCCTGGACGCCGAGGTCATGCCCTCAGGGGAAGCACAGCAGCTTCCTTCCTCTGTGAGGGCCTCAACCTAAAGCAGAAAGGGTGGTGAGACCACAGTGCTGGGGACGACTGACCCGACGCAGAGCTCAGCTGAAGGAGGAAGTGAACTCGCCTCAGCACAGCTCCGGGAAAGCTTTGTGCTGCACAGGCCACGAGACGGCACTCTAGGAACGCTACAACTCCTAGCCAGACTCGATCCTGCTGTGGAGAGCTTTAATAGGGACTAACAAGGAATTACTGTTTTCTAGGCTATGGTCATAGTATCATGGTTATAAGCATACAGAAAGGCCATTTTCAGAGAAAACTATTAAGAGAGTTTAAGAAAAAATGACACATGACTTGCTTTAAGATAAAAAAATGGAGGCAGAGGATGGAGACAACGCAGGCTGACACAGCAGTGTGGCAAAAGGTGGGCGCAGAGGGAGAGGTACATGGAAATCCCTGTTGTGTGCCGTCACCTGCGACTCTAGTGACCCTGTGTACAAGGGCCCTGAACTCTGCTCTATCCTGTGCCAACCTTACTGACTCTGACACATCTACCACCCTTAACCCAGGTCACTGAATCAATCCATTTCTTCCAGGTCTTCCTCTCTTGCATGGCCCCTCCACCCTCCCAAGCATGACGTCCCTCCCCAAGGGCTGGTCCCTTCTTGCACCATGTCCAAAATATGTCAGACAAAGCCTCAGAATCCTTGCCTCCAAGGAGCAGCCTGGCTTCACCCTCTCCAGGACAAACCTATTTGCTCTCCGAGCAGTCTATGGTATATTCAATACCCTTCTCCAGCACCACAGCTCAAAAGCATGTATTCTTCTATCACCCTTAGTCCTTGTCCAGGTCTCTGGTACAAAGTAGTATTTGTAAAGACCATGGCCTGGATCAGGCTTACCTTAGTCTCCACTCTGGCATCATTGCTCTTCAATACTTTGGGAGAGGTACCTGACAGCAGACTTTCCCAATATAATTTGTCTTTTGATTTCCTGGCTTCTGGTACCAAAAGTGTTGATTGTGGCGCCAAGCCAACTGAAGCTGTTAACAATCTTAATCTCTTCACCATCTATCATGATGCTGCCAATCAGCCCCGTGGTGAGAATCTCTGTTTTCTTGATGTTGAGAATCTCCTTTTGAGCTATGGTTAAATCCCACTGAGTCTTTGTGCCTTAATATCTTTCACCTTTTTTTATGCCTGCATAATTCCTTTACTTCTTCTAATTCACTAATTCTCTTCAGTTTTGTTTATTGTTTAATCTAGCCCTTAAGTTTTTCATTATTGCTACTAATTTTGTATTTTTTAAAAATCATCTTTTTAATTATTTATTTTAGTATTATTTTTTGTGCATGTACCGTCAAATCAGATCTGACTGGTCAGGAGGAAACTGTCCCTCCTTCTCCGGCAGAGCATCTGGTGGATTTGAACCATGTACCTCTGGGATTGCAGCACAGCTTCTTGCCACTAGGCCACCAGAGCTCCCCTAATCTTGTATTTTTAAATTCTAGTATTTTAAATTTTGTTTGATTCACTTTCAAATCTGCTTGACTATTTTGCAGAGTCTTGATCACTGACTCCCTTTCATTTCTGTTCACAGCACATGATCTGACTCTGTCGTTTCGCCTCTCTCATTCATGCTGCCCTGAAGCTTGTGTTTTGTTGGGACTCTGCCTACAGAAACAGTGTAGAGCCCACTTAATGCTCAGTCCTCCAGAGGTGACCTGACAGACGCTTCACGTCCTCACCACCTTGCTCCATTCCTTACACATCACAACAGCAGTGGTTCTGAGAGTAGACCTTCCCAAGATCTCAGAGAAAGGCTTCCCCGGCCCTGCCCACCTCCCCGAGAGGTCAAATCAAGCATGCTTCCTGGCATCCCCTGCCCCACTGGCTGCCATCACCGTGGCACCAGCATCGCACACTGATCCCCTGCCCACTTCCTCACTGACCACAATGAGTATGCTTCCTGGCATCCCCCGCCCCACTGGCTGCCATCACCGTGGCACCAGCATCGCACACTGATCCCCTGCCCACTTCCTCACTGACCACAATGAGTATGCTTCCTGGCATCCCCCGCCCCACTGGGCTACCATCACTGCATGCTGACCCTACTGGACTAAGGGCAGCTTTCCTGTCTCCCATCAAAGCAGAAGCTGAGGGTCCCTAGAGGCTGGAAGTCCTCAGTGAGAATACTGGATTTTGAGCACCTATTTTTCTCTGAGTACTTGCTTTCAATTTCTTTTTTACCTCAATGGCTTTTTCTCTTTCACCCCATTACAGTAACATGTTTGAAAGGGGTTTATGTTCTCGAATAATCACTTGTTTCAAGGAGGAAGGAGTATTTTAGGCTACTACAAGATTCTGAGGCTCCGTCTAACATACTTTGGACATGTTGTGAGGAGGGACCGGTCCTTGGAGTCGGACATCATGCTTGGTAGGGTGGAGGGACAGTGCAGGAGGGGAAGGCCCTCTATGAGTTGGATTGATTCAATGACTGGGATAATCGGGATGGGTCTGTCAGAGGCAGTGTGATTGGCACAGGATAGAGCAGAGTTTAGGGCTGTTGTACACAGGGTCACTATGAGTCACAAGCGATTTGAAGGCACATAATAACAACAACAACAACAACAACAACAACTGAATACCAACGGACTGCGAGTTGAATACCTCTATTTTTAAAGACAGTAAATGAATAGCAGTATTTTGGACTAACAGTTTTAGGTTTTTCAAGTTGTAAGAAAGCATAGTTCACGGCTGCGTGCTCCACGTAACAGTGCACTCGCCAAGTGCAGACTCCAGCAGCACAGCTGTGCTGTGATGGCACGCTCAGGCGAGCTGTGTCCACACCTCTGCTCTCAGAAGACAGGAGACCCAGACACCTTCACAGAGGAGGTGGTCCTGGGCTCAGACCCCTGAACAACAGGCAGGATCACAATAAGCAGAGCAGTGAGGGAGTGCTGCCAGAGATGCCCACAGAGGACGTGGGGCCGGGAGGTCTGGGCCTGCTCAGTGGGTTCTCTCACCTCCTCTGCTGTGGGTCTGGAGGACACTCAAGTCTCACCCACAGTCACCTGGCTTTCTTGGCTCACAAGGAAGTTCTCCCACCTGAGAAAACGGCTTACAGGAAGGCAGTCAGTAAAAGAGGTATTCTGAAGGAAACCCAAGAGCCCGTCAAATGAAGTGTGTGGAAACTGCATTAACATCGAGGGAGAGGATCGGATTGCTACCACGGGGCTACCATGCTAGGGAGGAGATGCTGCTTACTGGATGTACTTTAAAAGGGATTTACTAAGGACAAATACTGCATGGTGTCACTGTTGTAGAATGAGACTGACAGCAGAGTTGGGGTAAGACTGAGAAAAACTGGATAAATTATGTATACTGCATTAAAACAGATGAGGGAGAGAACAATTGAAAAGCAATATATGATATGGTATTACGGTTATCACAAGAGTCCAGAATGAAGGTTGCATAGTGGAGTGTACTCCGGGCGGTGGGAGGGGTGCAGGGGGATTGTGTACCAATGAAAGAATTTTTCTTTTACTTTTCAAAGAGAAGAGTGAACTGGAGGGGAGGAGTGGGCAGGGAGAAAAGTGCAACAGTGAATGAATGGAAATCCAAAATCTCTGTAAATGTTCATTAAAATTAATAAAATTTTTTAAAAAGTTAAAAAAAGGGGGACTTTACTACTAGGAAAGTTCTGGGAGGTGCTGGTGAAAGGTCACGTGATAAACAATGCAAGTGATGAGGGGAACTTCGGCAGACTGTTGGGGAAGAGCAGAGTGGGGAGCCAGCCCGCGCTGACCACCGGCCACACTTTCAGGACAGATCCCTCTCCCGGTCACCATCAGTCACTCAGTGCTCCCAGGCCTGAGGTGACCAC